AAAAAAGTCACATGATCATCTCAAAAGATCCAGAAAAAGGCTTTGGACAAAATCCAACATTTTGGTTACAAAAAGCACTCAGAAAGAGAAATAGAAGAGAACTTACTTAAGGAAATAAAAGGCATTTTAAAAACTCATAGTCAGTGGTAAAGAAGTGCATCCATCCCTCAACCAGGATGAAAGCCCTATTTCAATTCCCTCACTCCTGATAAGGTGCAGGTCACCCGAAGGTGCTAGTGCCCCAAGCAGCTTTCCAGAAGCACAAGAAGGTCCTCTGGAAAGGGAAGTATAATCTTATGGAATCTCAAATTATCTCTAGCAATTTCACTGTGTACTGCCAAGAACTCAATAAAAAATGGCTAGACAGGAGGAAATAGCACAGAACATGAACACTCCAAGGGAAATAATAAGGAAAAAGGTTTAAGGCTATTTAGGGAGTGGAGACAGTAGACATGGACTTGAGAATGACCACTTACCCTGTTTGAGGAAATGTAAGGTGGTGAGTCTGGCAGAGAAGTGAAAAGGATCTTGAAAGAAGATTTGGAAGGAAATTTCAAAATGGAAACAGACAAAAGCTAAAATTGATAGTGCAATGGATGGGTTCAACAGCTGATGACAAAGTCAAGTAGAAAAAAATCCCACAGGAGGCACAAAGAGACAAAAAGAATGGAAAATATACAAAAGAACACAAGAGTCACTTGAGACATAGAAAGGAGTCTAACAAATTCTGTTAGCTTCCTCAGATTACTGCAACAACGTACCTCAAAGCTAGAGGCTTCAAACAGCAAACATTTGTTCTCTTACAGTTCTGGAGGCTGGAAGTCCATCCCAGGTGTCACTGCGCTGAGACCAAGGTGTCCTCAGGGCCACGCCCCCCTGAGGCCCCAGAGGAGAAGCCATCCCTTGCTTCTCCCAGCTTCTGGTAGCTGCTGGTGTCCTTTACCTGTGGCTGTATTATGCCAATCTCCTTCTCTATCTTCACATCCCTCTTTTCTGTGTGTACAGTGTCTCTGCCTGGTTTACAAGGACACCTGGGATTGTGTTTAGGACCCACTTGTATAATCCAGGAAAATTTCCCCCTTCCAGAACCATGATGTAATTGCACCCACAGAGACTTTTATATTTATGGGGCTGAGATACTTTTGGGCGGCCCTGGTTCCACCAGTTGCAATATGTATAATTAGAATTATACAATATGTATAATTAGAATTCCTTAAGGTGGAAAAAATGGGTATAAACAATATTTGGAAAGATGACAGCTGAGATATATTTCCAAACAGGTTTTATCAAAACAAAAGTAAATAAATAAAAATAAACAACAGCACCAAAACCTCTACTTTTTCATCTAGCTTCAAGAATCTCCAACAACTCCAGCCAGGATAACAACAAAGGAAACCAAGCATCACAGTATGACTGCTGAAAAGGAAAGATAACAGAATTAAAAGCATCCAAAGAACAATGATAAAAATTCCTTTAAAAGCAACAAGAATTCTAAACACTGACCTCCAAAGGAAAGCCAAAGACAACGAAATATCTTGAGTCCAATACTTAGGTACATATGTACGTGTATACATGTTATGACACAAATACCCTACAAAATTATGGGTGGCTTTTTGAAAACTAATCCCAGCTACTTACAAGGAAGATCAAAACTTTGAGGCCAG